CGTATACTGCCGCTAACCTGAGGTTCCACGACAATCTACAGTGCCGTATATTGACGAAAATCCCACTTTTCATGCAGTGCATCTAAAAGCAGGTTGTTAGATACTGGCACTAAAGGAAAACATGAAATGTCATAACCAAGTGGCTTGTGTAATAAACAGAAACATCGGTACATAACAAAACTGGAGACCCACAAGGTCAGAATGGGAACCACCTCCCAAGGTAGTGGAGACTGATAGAGGTAAAATATTGTAGGACTTTCAGATACAGAAAGTCAGAATGGTTGAGGCCAACCAACGGAGATTGTTATAAGCTGAAGAAGTATCTGTAAAATTCATTGTTAGCATTTAGATCACTTTTCTTACCTTAGTGCAGTTTGAAGCTTTAGGCTCCAATTCACTGAGAGTCACCAGTTCCTTCAGTAAGCTGCTCTCCTGATATCCTGCTTTCACCCCTTGCAGCTGGAAGTTAGCCTGAGGTTTGGACAGAATCAGGCTAAGGTTCACTGCAAACCCAGCCATGTCTATGGCAAAAGGTCGGGTTGGGTCAAATTTAGTTTTAAAACCATACACCTTGCCTAGGGCATTTATTTTGGGTGTTTCGTATCGTATGCCCGCCACAAATGCCACGGGCCACACAGACACCTTCTTCGTGTACCTCATCTGTTAGATGAAAGAAGAGAAATACGTATTACTCCCAGAAATTTACAGGAACTATCGCTTCAATCTTAAAAGCAGGCATTTCATTAAGACATGTAACAGTGAGCCCACAAAACAAAATTAACTGAGATTTACTTTTAAAGATGTATCACCTCACCTCTTCAAACAGTTGCAGACTGTATGTGTTGTCATCATCAGCAAAGTAAACGACTCCAGGCTGGCTGAAGTTTACAGAATAGGTCTCTCTAAGCCACTGCAGGGCCAGGTTCCTCTGCAACGTACCACGTGGTATTTTGCGACTTTTAGTCTCCCCTTTGGGTTTAAAGTTTGAAGGGGTCTCTACATTGAGGTGTGTGTATTTAAGCCCTGTTTCCTGAAGGAAGCGGCTAACTAGAGCAGTCCTATTCTTGGAGTCCTCCACCACGATCCAGTGCAGGTTGGGGACATGAAGGAGAGTGTTGGCCAGACGAGTCAGGTCAGCCTTCTGCACTGTGCGGCTGTAAGTAGGAGTGATGATGTGGAGAGTAGGAAGGGTTTTGGACCAGGGCGGGGGCCGGCTGTAAACATAGTCTTTGCGAGCCATTACTGAAATACCAGTTATAAAGAGAAGATTTCTTTAAGGCTCTGAAAGTAACCACACAGGGTAAGGAGCAAAAAGAGACTTAGCTAAAGCTTAGCTTGGCTTTGTAGTGAGTAATGTGAAAATGTGTTGTTTAGATGCTCAGATGAACTGAGAAACTGATCCAATTGCTATTCATTATCACAAAATCTGATCTAAACTTTTAAAAATGATATAAATTTACGAATTGTGGTGTTTTAATGAATAAGACAAAAAAAACGAAACTAAACACATAGCATTGCAATCACACGTAACATTATTTAATAAAAAACTAATTAATGTGTTAGAAACACATTAATTACACATTAACATTAGAAACTATGCTTATGATTTTGAGCCCATTTGCAGTGTGACTTGAACCGTTGGATGGAGAGAAGGGGCAGATGTGGAGCTAGTACAGGTGTTTGGGGTGGAGGTGGTTGGCCCTTCTACCTGGTGTAGGTGTGGCTACTGTTCACCGGTGCCCACATTAATGAAGTCTGTCTGACTGACTGGGACCATATAACGTGCGGCTAATCAGGCATCAAGTGTCTGATCAACCTGGAATTAATTCCTGGTCTCAACCCAAATAGATGAAGGACAGAGAACTTCTGACTTAATGTTTCTAGGGGTCAGCGGGAGATGACAAACTGATGTTTAATATAATAAACTGAATTGAATTTAATGTTTTTGAGATGTGTTTGTTTGAAATCTTCAGTTGGCATGGCCCAAATATTTATAAACTTAATATTAATAATATTAATATTAATTTATTTTCCACCACAAGCTTTAAAACCATGTGTTTAAGAAACCAGGTCGTCAGCGTGTGTGTCGCAGTTAAGGCAAATGTGCCCCCACCCCTTTCGCAGACACAAGAGACTTGCACTTCTCTGAAATTGTCGGTGACCGCAGACGGCAGGCCTCTGATTGGTGAAATCTAAATTCATTCTGCAGTATGCGTATTTCCTGTTTGGTACCTCACCTGTTTGCTTTGTTTGTATTACCGCCATTGTGGAAAGCGATTTGTGAAGATGGACCAGCTAGAAGAGCGAGGTGCGCAAGAAAGCTGGTACCCTTTTTCCACCTTCATCCCCGCTCTTTTTCGCCCTCATGTCCCTCTGTTGTCGCACATCTTGCCCCTTTTGTTTTTTCCCACTTCCTCACCTTCTCAGCTAGGGACGCCGCCAGGACTTTGGGGCCTTAGATATTTGGCCCCACACAGAATAAATCTATGTAAACTTTTAAACTTCTATAAAGGTGCATTGATTTGTTTAATTCGTTATCAATATGTAAAATTAAGCATGCATGGCACTTCAGCCCTGGTACGAGCAAAATTTCAGAACGGGGAGACCTGATGCGATGCAGGACAGGGGTTTTGGTCAATATATCATGCTTTGTTACACTGTTTACTGCTTAAAAATAACGAAGAACACAAATGAATTTATTTCAATGCTGAATTTTCTTTTTGTGTTTGAATACTATAGCGGGACAGATCTTGTCTTCGTCTTTTGGGGCCTCAGTCAAGGGCCCTTAGAATCTTTCTAACTTTTCCCCTGTAAAGCACCCTTGGGCTTGGCCATATCTAGACCCACAGCTACTCCGATTGTCCCTCTTACGCTGTGACACGGAATAACAGCACAGACCACGCTTCAAAATTGGGCATGACTCATAAAATATCTGCGTCATACCTGCAACAAGCTCGCTGCGACACACTGCCTTGGGAGTATAACCAGCCCTTTAGCCTGTTTGTCAGGTGAACCGCTAGCTTGCCAGACTCAAAAGTCTTCTGGTCTATATAATTGCCACAGCTGGCTCCACATCTGCCTTTTATCTCCTTCCCACACCTTGACTCACAGGACAAAATTGTCACAGTCTTGATTCTATGTTTTACTTTATGTTTTTTTTTTTAGTTTCTTTGGTTTGGTTCCTATTTTGTTTCAGTTTCTGGACATATTTGAGTTCTATGGTTTTAATTTGTGTCCCTCTGTCACCCTCTTGTGTTGGTCTCCTTTTCCCTAGCTCCTTTCTTTGCTGCTCTGTTCACACCTGCTCCCAATCTGCTCGTTTAGCCTGATCACAGGACAAATTGTCACGGTCTTGATTCTGTTTTACTTTGCTCTGTGTTTTTTTTTAGTTTCTTTAGTTTGGTTCCTATTTTGTTTTATTTTCTGGATATATTTGAGTTCTGAGGTTTTTATTTGTGTCCCTCTGTTGCCCTCTTGTGTTAGTCTCTTTTCCCCAGCTCCTTTGCTGCTCTGTTTACACCTGCTCCCAATCTGCTCGTTAGCCCTCTCTTTGTTCAGTGTCACATAAATACACTCCTTGTGCAGTTCCTCAGTGCTGGTTCCGCATCTTACTACACTTTACCTCATCTCGCCTCATCTTACCATGGCCGCTGATTTATTTCCCCTGATGTCTCCATGGTTCTGGTTTGTTTTACATTTTTTATTTGGATTTATGGATTCCCACCTCTGTTACCTGTGTTTATTCATTAACAAAACTGCAAGAACTCACCCCTGCCTCTCAGCTTCTGCATTTGGGTCTTCTAACCTCAACCAAATCATGACAGTAAGAACCAGCCATCATGGACCCTGCAGAGCCAACCAATGTGGCAGGAAAATTACTCTCAATCATCATATCCACACGTGACAGTCTCCCCTTCATCAGTCCTCCTTGGGAGCGGGCAAGTGCAGCAGTGGAGGTAAAGAAGAGACTGGAAGAGTTTCCTGAACTCCATAAATTTCTTTGTGAGACTGGTTATATTGCAGAAGCTGAGTGGAATATCAAGGATGCTTTTGCTCAGCTTTTCAATAAACCTTCCCCACCCAAACCATCACTATGTCACCAACCTGCCCTGCTGTCTCTCACCTCCGATCCTGTTCCTCCACCATCAGCAGCTGTTGGTCCTCCTGTGCCATCTGCTTCCTCCAGGCATAAGCACCGCCGCTGGGGGAACAAGGCCACTTCCCCTCCAGCGGGTCAGCCTGACGCCTCCACTCCCCCTCCAGCGGGTCAGCCTGACACCTCCACTCCCTCTCCGGTGGGTCAGCCTGAAACCTGCTTCAGTTCCCCTTCCAAAACAGGTCAGATTTACCCATAGTCTCAGTCGTAACTTCCATGACTAACTGCTAGCCCCATCTATGAAAAGACTCAAACCAGGTCCTCATAGTACACCCCCCGCAGTAAGAGCTCATTATCTCGAGGAGTCTCAGTTATGGGCCTCTTTTTATAGGGAAAGAGAAGATCTATTCCCTTACCTTCCACCTCCATCAGCTCCCCACTAGCCCGGACTTCCCGAGCCAGAGCCCATTAGCAGGTCAGATCCTTTGCCAGAGCTAATTGGGGGTCAGATCCCGTGCCAGAGCCCTTTAGCGGTCAGATCCCGAGCCAGAGCCCTTTAGCGGGCCAGATACCCTAGCGCCAGAGCTCATTAGGGGGCCAGTTCCCCTAGCGCCAGAGCCCATTAGCGGGAAAGATCCCCTAGTGCCAGAGCCCAATAGCGGGCCAGTTCCGTAGTGCCAGAGCCCATTAGCGGGCCAGAGCCCATTAGTGGGCTAGATCCCCTAGCCCCAGACCCCATTAGCTGGCCAGTTCCCCTAGCCCCAGAGCCCATTAGCGGGCCAGCTCCCCTACTGCCAGAGCCCATTAGCAGGCCAGATTCTGATTCAGGGCCCATTAACTGGCTAAATCCAGAGTCTATTAGTGAACTAGAGACCCCTGAGTGAGCTCTGTGCTGTCCAGTGACCCCTGAGCGAGCTCTGTGCCGTCCCGATACCCCTGAGCCTGCTCTGTGTCGTCCAGAGACCCTGAGCCTGCTCGGTGCCATCCAGAGACCCCTGAGCACACTAATGAAATGGTCTCAGATTTGGAACTTGTTGAGAGTTAATCGCCAAGGCCCCACAGAGGGCGCTCCAAGCCTCCAAGAGCCCTCAGAGGGCTCTACTTGCCCCAACGCTGCTGCTGAAGAGACGGCGTCCCCCAAGGCTGCTGCTGATGCAGAGATGGCGTCCTCCAGAGGTGCTCCTTCGTCACCGGCCCCACGGCCGGCCTCCAGATACTCTGCCTCGCCTTCAGCCCCACGTCCGGCCTCCAGATACTCTGCCTCGCCTTCAGCCCCACGTCCGGCCTCCAGATACTCTGCCTCGCCTCTGACCCCATGGCCGGCCTCCAGAGACTTTCGGTTGCTCTCTCCCACCTTTGGTAGGGTTTTTTTGTACTCTTTTTTTTTTTTTTTTTGTTTCTTGCCCTCCTTCCTGGTTCCCCCTCCGCCCACCCTGGCTGGGTTGTTTTTTGGACATTTTAGGGCATCTGGAATCTGCCCTTAAGTGGGGGATACTGTCACAGTCTTGATTCTGTTATGTTTTCCTTTGCTCCATGTTTTCTTGTTTTGTCGGTTTGGTTCTTATTTTGTTGTATTTTCTGGATATATTTGACTTCTAAGGTTTTTATTTGTTTTATCTGTTGCCCTCTTGTGTTGGTCTCCTTTTCCCTAGCTCCTTCCTTTGTTGCTCTGTTCACACCTGCCCCCAATCTGCTTGTTAGTCCTCTCTTTGTTCAGTCTCCCATAAATACACTCCTTGTGCAGTTCCTCAGTGCTGGTTCCTCGTCTTACTTCACATTACCTCATCTTTTTGCCTGATGTCTCCATGGTTCTGGTTTGTTTTACATACTTAATTTGGGTTTTTGGGTTCCTGCCTCTGATACCTGGGTTTATTCATTAAATAAACTGCAAGAACTCACACCTGCCTCTCAGCCTCTGCATTTGGGTCCTCTAACCTCAACCAAATCGTGACACAAATGGGCTCAAAAGCAATTAGGGCTCAAAAGCCTGTCAGCTTTGTTTTCCATCAAACCAAGTGTTTTATGGTTGTGAGGTATAGCTGATATTACCTATACATTCAACTTGGCAGCTACAGAACCAACCAACCCTATGATGTAAGAATAATATATTTTGAAAAAGGTATTTCTGAAAAGCATCAACCAAACATTGATATTTACCTTTTTGAGAAAAAATGACAGATGTGATATTGGTCTGGTGCCAAACACTGATGAGGAGCAGCCATGGTAACATAATCAGCAAAATGAACATAATGTTGTATTTCTTTGCCATCTTCGATGTCCCACTGGTTCACCTCACTATCTGCGAGGAATATAAAGATCAGTTTTTTGTAAATTTTTGCAATTATTTATTAATGTTGTAATTTTATGTTCAATTCTATTCCCAGCCAGCTGGGAATTTATATTTCTGATACTTTAAGATGTTTATTGCCCTCCCCTGTAGTGGTGGTAAAATACCTTATTTAATCAGATATTATTTCAGCTGTTATACATTGTTTATGACACACAGTCCTACTAGCTGTGTGTTAGAACAATAGATGATAGAGTAATTTCGAGCCCTTATCATGGTCAAACAGTTAATTCTGCACATACATGGAATAAATTCACCACAACTTCTGTTCAAAATGTCAAAAGAGTTTATTAACAAAAATAATTCAGCTCCAAGTCAAACATATTTCAGTTTAACACTCTCAACTAAGAATAGTAAAACTCAACTAAACTAAACTAAACGACTATGTACAAAGAGGAAGGGGAACAAAGTTGAAAAACATTACAGTTTAAGATGGATTTTTGTGTTTTAAACCAAAGTTTATCTGGAAGAATTTGGGATATGATCAAATTAGCTTTTCACTAATTTGAAAGAAATTTAAATGTTTTCAGACCAATTCACAATGCAAATCCATGAGGTGAATAAAACATTATTTGGCCAAATAATGTTTTATTAAAGGATTTGCTTAATCAATAACCAAAAACCTTTAGTTAAATGATTCTTTACCCTCTTTGAAATAATTAGCAGCATGATGAGCATCTGAGGAACACATGAACACTAATGTTATACCAGTTTTTAAACTGGTACACCTTGGTCACACCTTGGCTGAAACGGGGGTTGTTGCAGAGATTCCAAAGCTGATTCCACATCATGTCAAGATGAAATATGGACACTGGTTTCCAATGTCCAAAAAGTATGATTATGGCATATGACACAACATTTATTTATCCTTTAATTTACAAAGCTAAAAGAAAAATATTCTTCCATTAGAGTTAAATGCATGGAAACAATAAATCCTTAATCAAGATTTCTGATTGATCTGAAAAATCAAAAGGTTATTAAATATTTCTTAAACTTAGAATGTACTAAGTCTTAAACACAGCAAGATCTTTTATGCTAGTTATTATATAAAAAATGTTAAAGTCACATTTGTTAAGGACTCTCTTGCCAAGTTTTTTTTTTTTTTCCTAAAGAATGCAAAATGATAGCAAGTTTTTTTTCTTTATACATCCACCTCTTCTGTGAAGGAATTTGGCTTCTGTAAGTAGGTTATTTAATACTTAGGTACATCAAGTTCCGATGTTTTTTTTTACACTTTCTACTAACAGCTCCTCCATAGATATAAAACGGTGAATATTGAATAATGTTTAACATGAAAAGCAATGTTTGAATTCAAATATTAGTTAAGAACTGTTGTAAAGTTTATTACATAGGTTGACGTAAAAGGCAATAAAGTTTCATTTTATAGGGTGAGTGGGGTGGGATTAAGGGAAGGTTATGGTTCATTATTTAAAGGTTTATTAATCTGGACTCAGGCAATAAACAGAGATAAACCGCTCTTCCTGTAAGTTAGTGGAAAGTGGTACGGGCAGGGCAAACAAATAAGATTATATAAGAAACGTTTGAGACCTGCATTTTATTGGGGAAAAGACGTTTAGGTGAAGGCTTTGGGTGAAGAGAAATGAAGTAGGTTGAGACTTTAGGGCTGGAAAAAGTGGTCAGGGTTAAGTGATGTATTAATTAAAATTATATTTGGGGTGGGATGTATGGTGGATTACCAAGGGTTACGAAAGTGTCTTGGGGTAAGGTTATGTCAATTTAAAAAAACATTTTTTGGGATTGGGTAAGGATTAGGTGAGAAGGACAAAAATGGGAATAAAATTTAGAAAGGCTGCAGCTGGGACTGATACCTGTAGTTGCTACAGGTATCAGTTAGTAACTTGAACGAAGTGGGCACATGTGATCCAAGCAGGGGCAGTCTGCATATTTCCTGGGATTCTTATTAATTTGGTTTTAAAGAAAAATATATCAAAAGGTAGAATTTTTTCATTATCATACAAGCTTATTTCTGTGATTATCTGCCCTGTTTTCCCCAGGGCTCCCAGCCTGAAAGAAGAGAAACATCTCCACATCAAATCCTTAGAATCCCCTCTATGTGGATTACCCTCGCTCCCTTCTCCTTAGACACCTGTCCACAGGCCTCTCTTTTCTGCGATCCTGTATCATTGCGATTCCTTCCCCATGTGAAGCGGATGAGAAAACGGAGTTTTCGCCTTAGTTAACCAAAACCATCCTGCCATTGGATGGTACCTGCCTGGTACCATCAGCAGGGACGCCCTCTGAGAACGCTGTAAGGTATCAAATCTATTAAAGCCCATCAAATTCCCTTGTTGTTTGCATCAGACTAATTCAAATCTCCCCGAGAGATCTGGAAACGGACTAGTTGTGAACTTGACCGGATCTGAACCAGATGTTGCCTCCCCCTCCTCCCATCTAGAGTCAACACACTAAAACCTTCTTCATTTATTCCCATCTGATGCTCAATTAAGGTGCTTAGCTTCAGCAAGCGTAGTTAGTTGTTTTTGTTTGTGGTTTTATTGAAATTCTTGATTTTAAAGCTGATGGTTCATCTAACAGGGTTCAAAACAGAACTCCAGTTTCATAGTATAAATGAGTATGTGTGTGTGACTGGCTGCAATTGGGTTATTTTTCTTCAGTTAGTCTTCCTGATCCTTCTTGTCCTGAAAGTAGTGTGTTGAAAGTGAACTTCGAGGATTGTGAGCCACTTTAAGTTTAGTTGTGACAAAATGGAAGGTGTGGTCATTGTATGAGTTTTACAACCCATTGTGTGCCTACACTTGTAGTCCATCACTTCCCCTTGGTCAGATGGTAGGAGCGGCCATTTTATGAGCTTTACAACATACGGGTCTGAAAACTCATAAAATGGCAGCATGTTGTGTATTGTGTTCCCTTAGAGAGAAACCTTTGAGGCAGTCTGATTGAACAGTCTCTTTAAAGTGCATTGAGATGACTTGTTGTAAAATATGTACATAAAATAAATTGAAAACTGGATTGATATGTGCTTGAGAATGGCTTTGTCTCCATTCAAACCCAGGTTTAAAGCCTTGCAGGGCAGCCTAAAGCCCAGTGCTCTCATTAAGCCATAAAAAAGAAAGGAAAAAAAATGGTCAGTTTTAGTTTTATAAAATATGGGAATCAGGAAATTGTCTATAGCTATACCAAACTAAAAGACTGTTGTTCACTACCTCAAAAAATACTTTAGATTTTAAAATGAAAACATTTTATATATATATATATATATATATATATATATATATATATATTATTTTTTTTTCTTTTTCTTTCTAAAACTTCAATGTATAACATTGATGCATAAACACTTCATTTTATTTCAGTGTTAAATTCTGTTTAAAGTAACAAATTATAATTAAAAATGTCTCCTGACCTTTAGTAGTTGATGATTTTTTTATTCAGACCCTGCTGATTTTGAATTGATTACCACGGTTTAATATTTATAAATATTTATTTCACATCATGTGCGCCATCCACTGCAGATCATTGGCTCCATCCACATCTAGTGAAAACTAGTGTAATTGGATGAGTCATAGAACGCAAACACTCATTGGTTAGCTAAAGGAAATCATCAGAGGCAAGCAGGTGTTCTTCAAACTGCAAACATGAATTATCTATGCCATGCTACAATGTCTGATTCAGAAAAAGATGTTGAAATGTCTGAAAGGTCGGACACAGGCAAGAACGTATCTGGGGATGAAGACGGAGACCAACAAGACCTCCCTCATCCTTGGCCCTATCTCAAAGAATTTTTCCGCATATTTGAAAAATTTAGCTTTCAATTCATATAGTGGCATCTGGCTGTTTTTTTAAAAGAGCTTACTTAAAAAGTTACTTTATACTTTTCTACTTCAAGTATTTCCAAATTCTTTGATATTTTACAACATAAAATGTAAATGGTAAATGGCATGTACTTATATAGAGCCTTTATTCAAGTTAGGAGACTTGACCAAAGCGCTTTACACTACATTCATTCACCTATTCACACACACACTCACACACTGATGGTGGCAAGCTACATTGTAGCCACAGCTGCCCTGGGGCTCACTGACAGAAGCGAGGCTGCCGTACACTGGCGCCACCGGGCCCTCTGACCACCATCAGTAGACAATGCAGGTGAAGTGTCTTGCCAAGGACACAACGACAATGAAAGTCGGAGTCGGGGCTTGAACCGTCAACCCTCCGATTACAGGGCAAACTCCTACATCCAACGCCACTGTAACTTCATACTTTAATTAGTTACTTTCACTGAGTTAGTAACTTAGCTACTTTTTTGGATTCAGTAACTTTTCAGTCACTTTTTTAGAGAAGTAACCAGTATTTTCAACTAGTTAATTTTTTAAGTAATTTGTCCAACACTTGTCTGTGCTAACTTTTTCCCAGGTCTAAGAAAGAATTTCAGGGCTGATTATTAGCATTATCTGCTATTTTAAGGTCTGGTTAATGCCATAGAAATGAATAAAGTCAATGCAAAGTCCCCATAATGATAGCAAAACCAAACTTAATGTGTGCGTATTGGCAATACTATAGCCTATATAAGATCAAATGCTGGGCTACATAAATTGACTAAGGTTACATGAACATAATCAAATATGTTACAGAATAAGCAACAAATACCGCATTACACTCACTGTATTAAACAGTAAAAACAAAATGCAGTCTATACAAGCAAAGATAAAGATAGCTAGAAAGATGATTCAAAATAAACTTATTAATTCAATTTAATTAAATTTTTTTATATAACGCCAATTCCCAACACATGTCTTCTCAAGGTACTTTACAGTTCATTAGATCATATAGTCAAATTGATTCTGAAGTTTTCTATCTAAGGAAAATCAGTTGATAGAATCAAGTCATTGACTAGAGGGCAATCCCTCATTAACCAACTCAAGGACTTCAATAGCAGAAAA